AAAAAAAAAAAAAAAAAAAAAAAAAAAAAAGAGTGGACACCAAATACCTGTGATGAACGTGTGTAAAGCTAGGCAGAATGCAGTGGAAATGTGACTGTTTCCCTTGCCCGGTGACCACCTCAGGCTCCAAAATGTTGCTGGTTCAGAGAGGTCACTGCTGGCTTCAATTTAGTTACTAATCCATTACTTTTAGGCACAGAGGCTGCAGAAAACCCCCTCACCAGGCAGGTTGACCTGGAGCACTTGATTCCTTATCTTCCTCCTATAGAGCTGGAGGAGCTCCAACAACTTTTAGAGCCCCTGGCATGAGGCTGGGAGAGTGGCAAGGGAAGAGGAAGACTGGAAGCCCCGAAACCCCAGTAAATGCTTGATTATGGATTGTCCGACTGTGATCCATACAGCCTAAAAACCACAGCACCAAACAGAATGGGTAGGACTTACAACATCACTGCTTGTGCCCTAGGTCCTGAGCACCAAAACCTGCAACCCAGGCAGCACTTTCCTCACCCTTCTCCAACTTCAGTGCTCTCCACTAGCTCTGTGTTTAATCTCCTCAAGAAAAAAACCCTGTCCAGAAAAAAACTATTCTGGAAAAGAATTTCAAATTTAATTTGCTCAGCATTAGAGTTTATGCAGTTTGTGGCTCATTGTTATAGTTTTAGTTGATACAATGGATTATTCCGTGTATCTGCATTCTGTATATCATATATATGCACTGAAAATAAAACAGACAGCAGTTCCAGGTCTGTGCTAAAACACTTAACAGTTATTAAGCACTTTCTTTCTGGTGCAGTGGAATGCTAAAACTTTATGTATGTAAAATTCAAATAGATTTCAGTGACATTACACATAAGCTTACGTTTTATACTTCCTCAACTTTGTGCTGTATCAGATCCATCTACTCTTTTAAAAGGGTAAAATAAATATCCTCTTATTTCTCTGTTTCTTAAGAATATCGAATCTCAGTTGCTTCACACTGCATCATATGTATAGCACTGAGTTGAAGACTTGATTTGAAACCTCATGAACTCAGTGAGCTTCAGCAAGGGTTTGGATTGGCTTGAATTTGATCAGCGCTGTCCTTTGTGGTCACTATGGCAAAAAGCCACTGCATTTCCATTCCTGGATAAAGAATGCTAGTCATGTACATAACACTGAAAGTGAAAAAAAAAATGTATTGGGAGGTCAATGAATGAGGCTTTCCATTTTTTGTTAATCCAAACATTTGTGTTTCTCATTTAGGGATTATGGCTCAGCAGATGCTAATTGTTTACATTTCAGAAAATGGTACCTCTGGAACATATGAAGGGCTCATCCTGAAGTGAGTCTGCTTGATCTGTATAAATATTTGGAGGTTGTGTGCTACTTTAATAGAATTAATAAAAATCATTGAGATTTTTATTGGTACACAGACTACACTCCATAAAACACTATTGAACTGACGTGATGTAGCCTATTTATTACTTCTTCTGTACTCTTATATTTAGCACAGTATAATTTTAAAGACTAATCTTGCAACCTATACACCTATGATTAAACCCACTGAGGTGAATCAGTTTTCTCATTACTATAGTAAGGTATGACTTCTTTTTTTTTAAAATTTTTTACTTTCTTTGTCAGTCTGATACTGGGACTTCCTTACAGATATCTAGGAGTTGTACATAGTTACTGAGAGTACTGGAAGAGACAGAAACATCTCAGAAATCACAACAGGCAATTATTCATAAAGGATGATGATTTAATTACATCTTTTATACCTTATAGTAAGTCAACACTGCGGTTTCAGTAAAAAGCTTAATTTATTTTTTTTTTCCCCAGCATTATTACATTTATCACTCTTTATCTGTCCTTTACTTGGATCGGGATCATTCAGGTCTTTTTAAGTGTATGCCTAAATATATTATTGTTTACTCTTCTGCTGCCCTT